AGTTGGGAGACAGGCGGACCTCCTGAGGGTGCTGACTGACGCGCAATTGGCAGCGAAAGATTTGACCTCGGCGATCTAGCATGGCTCACTCTTGGCGCGGTTGGCGGGGCACGCCCACCGTCTATCCAATCCCTCGCCGCAGGTCTATATGCGGCGAGCAAGGAACAGGTCTTATTTCTACGGTTCTGGGCCGTTTCTCATGATTTTCCTTTCTTTCTTGTACCACTTACCATCCTGAAATTAATTTTAAGTGGGTTGCTTTTTCATCGTGAATTCTTCCTTCAATAAATCCACCCAAATTTGAAGAATACAGTACTGGCTGCCAGAACGCATTTAACACTTGGTATTTGAGTAAATCAATATCTACGGTATTCGTAATTTTGAGTAACACATAGTTGGCAGCAACCCAAACAAACCATTAGTCGATCCAATTCCAGTGGTCCTGCCGCATTCGGGTCCCGGTCAACGTGGGCACCAAGGGTGTTGGCCTGTGTTGTCATCAGTGTGGCCGCCTACAACATCGTACAATTCGGTGATTTAGAGGTATGTTTTGTTACGCTTTTTTCACTTTTTTTCAAATATCGATCAATAATTGATTGACTTTAGGCGGTTGAGTGTTTACATCCGGATAACTACACTTTATACGAGCTTTGCCCTACAGAACTTCGTGTTAGTGAACTCTACATAGTGGTCTATAAGTGAGTACACAAAACAATAACCTTTTATGTAAATTTGATTTGATTTTTTGAATTGTTCACCATAAAATTCGTGATTTTTAGAGGATATATGTATGCATTATCGATGGCTTTTATACCATTCATTCTCTTAACTATATTAACATTTGGCATTGTCTATCTGCTTCGGAAGAAACAGGAAAAGTCCGAAAAGGTCTTATGTGAATGTGGGTTTTTTTCTTTTTTTGTAGTATATTTTTGAAATCTGATTTTTTATTTGAAAAATTCCGGTTTCATCTGGTATTGATAAATCGCCACCGGCGGTGGGAACTGTCATAAGTCAACACTTGAGAGGAGCCGCAAGATCACAGTAAGTGCAGCAGTTGGAATGGGGAGGGAGCTCTGCGTGGGGTTTCAGGAGAGACTTTTTGAGCGATTGAAAGGAAGTTGGGGAATGCGCACATTTTTATGTGGTCCTGCATTATATAATTCATTGATTTTTGTGATCAATAAACAATATGAATTTGATTGATCAAAATGAATAAGTGGGAGAGGTGGGGGTCAGGGGTCTTCAAGCTGACCTATCGAATTATTTTTTATTTAGACATAATAATTAAAGGTAGCAAAACAGCTTTGGCTTTCTGCTGGCGTTGCTGAATGGTGGCGAGGATGGGGTGTCCGAGCTTTACGGTACTATTCAGCTCGAGGTCGGTACGTAGGAGAGGAGGTGCAGCTGGGCCAGCAGTCCGCTAGAGAGGGCCGGTTTGCTGGGGTTTGACGCGTATTTATGTGATTGTGATTGTTGGTGCGTGGTTCGCGACGTATAGTGTGACCTTGTTCTCCTCGAGTAGTGTCATGATAGAGACTTCCTTGGATGGTTACTGGGATGGATGGAGGTGTGGGATTAGCGTGCTTTAATATGTTTTAAACCTTAGCTATTCTCTATTATTAGGCGGTTTGTCTGTGCTTTGTTGGATTTGTTTTATGTGGTAGTCTGTCATCTTTTAGTTTGCAGTTTTGTCGGTTCTTTTCGTTGTTGTGTCCATTCTTTAGCGTAATGTCCACATAAATAAGAATAGACATGCTAGACTACAAAATCAAGAGACCAAAGGCAAGAAAATAACCAAATGACGAAGGGAGCCTGAAATATTCAAAAATTATCGAACCAGGTGCCTATAAAACTTCAAAATTCTTAAATCGAAGGCCTGATGTTATTCCTTTCTTAGAGAACATTCACTTACACTGGGGACAGCGTATTAGAGAGTTTTCGAGTATACTATTTTTGTAGTTCGATAGGCCGTAAATTATTACCCTTCGGCCATTTTTCCATTTAGCCTTGGCACACGACTCCAAGGGTCCTTCCTCCTCAATTATTGCCTATGAAAATCAAGATAGCGCCCGTTGTTGAAATATAGGGGCCACCCACTCATTTGTTCCCAATATCCTCTGAAATACTGCGTGAAAAGCGCCTACATGTCTCAAACGTGGCCTTCTTTGATCTCTGGGTTCAACTGTTCGTGTACGTGATAACGCGTAGGACCACTCGGCTCAAAAACGGGTTGTTGCGTGACTCTCCCACCACCGAGAGCCACTTATTAAGTCGGCCAAGCAAGCACGCGTGACATTCTCAAAAGCTGTTAAGCCAAGACTTCCGTGTTCAGGTGAAGACAAAGAAGATCAGGGATCGCCAGTCGTACTCCTTCTGGTGATTGTGCTGTTTCTCGCCTGCAATATTACTTCACTATTGGTCAACGTGTTCGAGATGCTCAAAATGTAAGTTCTCAAAATTAAAGGTCAGGAACTAGATGGATTGCTCTAGTTCCGTTTTCGCATGAAACGCAAACTCAAATATGCCTACGCAAGGGCAAAGCAAATAGCTTTGGCCTTAAAGATCGCTTTAAAAAATATTCGGCCAAGATTAAAACAGGAGTTTTGTTTTTCTCTAGACCTGGACGATCTGAGTTCGCAACTATTTCTCAACATTAGGCTTGATGAACTATCAAACTCGTCCCTGCCTAGGTTGGAGGGGCAGTATGGATATTGGGATAGCTCGGAAAGACGCTAAGTTCAAACCCTTCTCGGCTCGCTG